TCCTAGCCTAAGGAAAGATGCTTAATCCTTAAAGAAATGCCAAAGTTGGGAGGGGGAGGGAAGTTAGTTACAGGAGGTTACCAGAGGAGCACAATAAAATGCAGATTTAAGTCCTTGCCTTTGGTATTGATTAAGAGCTTCCAGAGAGAAGGCCATCTCCCTTCTTCTTCCTGGTACAGAGAGGGAGGCACCCCCTACAGATAGAGATTTACCCTACAAATGCAAAGGTGTCCCAACAAAGGGCAAATTCCATTCCTCAGAGCCTCCTTCCCTGTCCCAGTTTATCAAAAGCAATCAGCCTCAAATAATCCTGATGCCAAAGAGACATATCTTGGGGTGGCCAATTCCAGGTCCCCACAATTTGATGTTCTGGGAGGTCATCTGTCTCTTCCTGCAGCCCCACAGCGCCCATGTGCTCTTCTCGGAAGACCCTCTCACTTTCTGTTCTGCTCTGTGGTTATTTACGAATATTTCTCATCATCCCTGCTCAGTTGGGTGGCTCTCCCTGACTCTGAGGGCTGGCTGCTCTGCACTCTTCGGGGTTGCCCTTACCACACGTAACCACACACTGCCTATCTGTGGCCGGACTACAAACACCTCGAGATCATGGACCTTATGTAATCTGTGGCTGGACTGCAAGCACTTCGAGATCATGGACCTTATATAATCTACTTCCTCACTCATTCATTCAACAAAAATTTACTGAAAATCTCTGTGCCAGGTGTCGACGAAAATAATCCATAACCAATCTATAAATGAAAATTTGGGTGAGTTTACTCTGAGCTTAAATCTGAGGATGATAACCCGGGGCCTTTCTTCCCGAAGGAAGAAAGGGCACCAAAGAAGTGGGGTGCACAGAGTGGTTATATACCCCCAAACAGGGTGTTTCACATAGGATTGAAATGTCCCTTTTACCATAGTCGCGAGACTGCTCTGTCAGCACAGCGATTGATGGAAACAGCAGGTAGGTCTCCTGTCTCAGTGAACACGGCAGGGTGGCAGTCTGTTGTCTCCAGCTGAGTGGTCACAGGTGAGCTGGGTGGTCAAAGGTGAGTGCAGCAATCAGTTCCTAGCCTAAGGAAAGATGCTTATCCCTAAGGAAATGCCAATGTGGGAGGGGGAGTGAAGTTGCACCTTTGTCTCAAGGGCCTTTGTTCTGGCCATAGGAAATGTCTAAGCAGATATGCAATGCGTGCTCAACAGCCACAGTCAGGCCCTTTTGGAAAAAACAAAGTCAGGTTGAATTAGGTTTATACCAAATGGCTTCCTCATATACTCCAATATATCCTATTGCTTGCCATTTTTATTTGTCACAGGTAATATCTAGGTCCTGGGGATGCAGAAGAGCCCGCCCGTTTCTTGTCACCCACACCCTGGTCCAGGCCAACAGTGGACCTTGTTGGTGCTCCAGTTCATCCTCCTGTACCTTCCATTGCCCTCCTCCAATCCATCCTCCATGGAGCAGAAGTTTAAACATAAATATGATCATGTCACTCCCCTACCTTAAGACTTCCAGAGGCTTCTCATTGTTCTTAGGATGAAAACCAAAATTCTTCCATTTAGGACCTGCCCTGCGCGTCCTAACATTGCTCACCTCTGACCCCTGTCTTCGAGCCTTGTCCCTCCTTCACTAGGTGCCTATAGTCTCTCTAGCCTTCTTCGAGTTCCTCAGACCTGTAGGCCTTCAGTGGTCCCTGGCCTGGCATGCTGTCCCCCTCACCAGTGACACTGAGATAGAGTGAGGTGCAAGACGGATATTAGGGATCCACTCCTGTAAGAAGAAGTGGGAGGAGGGAAGATCAGGCAGAGAAAGAAAAACTGTGATGCAGGCCTGCCAAAGCCTCAGCCAACCTCCTAGGGAAACCCTGGAGCAAACACTGCCCCAGCGCCTCCCGAGTCTGGCTCAGTCACTGGGGATGGGCTTCTCCCCCAGGGCGTGGCAGCAAGGCAGCTCTGGGCAGGTGAGGCAGACCCCCGCGGCACTGACAGGAGGAGGCCGTGTGCTGACCACACCCTCTTGGTGGAAAGCAAGTTCTCCCTTGATGAGTGAGGGCACATCTCCGTGTCCACCACACCTGCCAGTACTGCTATCTCTTACGTCCTGCCAGGGCCCTTCCTCTGGGAAACCTTTGCTCAGATCTCTGGGCTGGAAGTGCTCATAAAACTTTGTCCTTTTTCTCCTCAGCAGTTAACACAGTTTGTAGTCACATTTATGTGTGCGACTATCTAACTGATATCTGCCTTCCCAGGAAACTGTATGTTCTGTGCAGGCAGGGGCCATCTGTGTGACTCACTGTCGTCCCAGAGCTCATGCCAGTCCCTGGTACACGGCAGGTGCCCCGGAAGAACTCGCCGAGTAAGGAATGAAGAGTGGTACCATGTCTTGCCAACACACGACTCTCCCAACTGTGTGAGTCATCAAGAGTTTGCTGTGTATTGAAGCTCTCCTCCAGCTGACAGGGAGGGCATTCATGATCATTTCAATCCAGTTTTATCTTTAATATTTAGGAGGCTGCTCCTGCCTCACCCCAATCTGATCCAGAGGGCAAAATAAAGGCAAAGTTCACACTATTACCACCGTCATCATCACACCTACCACCCAGAGCCTTATAAGGGCTGCGTGTGGTGTGTTGCAAGGGGCAGCTCAAATTTCCAAACCCAGAGAGCGGCACTGGGTTAGGAATCACAGCTCCTGCTCTACACTTAACTGTGCCACCGGAACAAGTCACTTAACCTCTCTGAGGCTCATCTGTAAAATGGGGATGATGTCTATCAGTTTCAATGCAGTGATAAGCAAGAAAGTGCTTTGCAAACTATAAATTGTGTTGCACAAGAAAGCAAGGGAGCTTCCTCCTTGTGCAATCATGACAGGTTGGGAAAGGACATATTTGGGACACTAACTTGTTTTCTACAATGATGACGTGGGAGCCCACGTAGATGGGCTGTGTTCTGCGCACTGTTTTTCCCAGTTGTGCAAGTGGATTTGTGTTTACCTCTCTAAGCCCACCCTCCTTCCCAGCCCCTGTCGCTTCTGATCAGGAGCAGAGACAGCAGGAAGTACACCAACTCTGGGTGAACAGTGAGGGACTGTGTTTACATCATATGCAGGTCAAGGTTAAGTGTGTTTTGGCAGTGGAGGGGAGTGTGGGGGGTGTGTATCTTCCCAACTGGACAGAGAGGGTAAGAATGTGACACTGAAGGCAGCGGAATCCTGAGGGAAGCTAAGCTCCCTGGGGGAGAATCTTTTACCTGGAGACTAAGTACCTGGCCACCGAGACAGAGGCTGACGAGGAGCTAGTGTAGACACAGGTGCTGGGGGTGGAACCAGTGATAAGAAGCCCAAATAACTTTCCAGGGCCCTCGGTGGGTCAAACCAGTTCGCTAACCCGGGAACACTCAGAGAGGTCTTTGGTTTCCCTTGTTCTCCCCATCTTCTTTTTCCCTTTATCGGTAGTCAATTTATTTAATCAAAGTACATGGCATTCTCTTGACAAGGATGAATGAGAGCAACCCACACAAGAGGCTCCAAACTCGGCTTTTACACAGCTCCCTCAGTGAACTTTCTCCCCAGCGCCAGAACATACATATGTTACCGCATTTTACAGATGGCAAAACTAGGCTTAGAAAGGCTAAGTAACATGATGAAACCTAGATTTTCCAGTACTTTCTCCCCTACACTGCTGTTTTTTAAGTGCCTCCTGCCCCCTACTCTCATAAATCTAATGTGAGTGTATTTGTTGGGGTCAGGGAGCCCTGGGCTGTTTTTCTGCCTGAAAACACCTAGACACAGAATTTCCAAGATGGGAAGGGACCTTGGAGGTCATTTAATCCAACTTATTTTGCAGATAGAGAATCCGAGGTCCAGAGAGGGAGAGTGACTTCCCCACATCCTGCCGGCCTGGGGTCTTCCAAGCCTAAGCTTGCCTACTCCTGCTCTGGCTGAGCCACAGTGCCTTTGTCTGGAGACAGCTTTGCCAAAAATAACAGCCACCCTGTGCTGAGCATCCTATCTTCAACAAATACTCACTGACTGCCTACTACGTGCAGGGAGCCTGAGGTGCTGTGAGTACGAAGAGCAGGAATAACGCTGTCCCTGCCCTCTGGAGCTTATATGGTTCATGGGGGAGGTAGACCACAAGCCAGTAAAAAGTATCCAAACAAGATAATTTCGGATGCTTGTAAAGAAATAAAAAGAGGTAATGGAGGTGAGGGAGGGCTTCAGATGGAGTCGTCAGGAAAAGCCTGACCACTTGGGGTACGCCAGGTGCTGGTCCTTTAATTCTCACAGCGACCCTTAGAGACTGGGCAGATCTCCGTTTTGCTGACAAGGAAATCGATGTTCAAAGGGTTAAGGGTGGCAGCCAAGTCCCAAACTCCTGATCCCTACTTCCTACCAGCCCCCGTTGAGCGGCCGCTGCCGCCGTCAGGCCCTGGATGATGAAACTCGGCGCGAGGACTGCACCATCTCGCAGCCTGCGTCCTTGCAGGTGTGGGGGGCGGGGGGCGGGGGAGGGAGTGTGGGGAGGCGGGAGGCGCCTCCAGGGAGAAGCTGCAAATAGCTCGAACTCCGCAGCAAGGCTGAGCTGACAGCCCCAGCCCGGCCCCCACCTGGCTCTCCAGCCCCTCTGCCCGGACAAAGAGCCCGCCCAGCCCGGGCAGAGCCAAACCACCGCTCCCGCCTCTTGCCCGGCCCGGAGCGGGTCAGCGCGGGGCACTATCGGACTTGTAGTTCGGCCACCTCTCCACCCCTGCTCCGGAAACAGACTGGGGAACTACAAGGCCCAGGAGCCAGCGGGCAGGCGCGGGGCGGACTCGCCGGCGGTGGGTGTGCGAGCTCAGGGGGCCAGGCGGTGCGGGCTCCGGGCGCTGAGATGCGACTGGGGGCGCCGGAGCCCGGGAGCAGCTCCAGGCGTGCGCGCTAGCCGGGCGCGGTGAGGAGTGGCCGGGCGGCGACAGGCACGTAGCGTGCATGCACTGGGCGCAGCCTTTGCAAAACTCGGTTGTGCAGCGCTTTGGCTCTGCAGTGGCGCGGTGGCGTGTCTGAGTCGCCGGGGGAGGGGCGCCCAGCCCCGAGCCAGGCTGGCACCGCTTGCTGAAAGAGCCCTTGGCTGGGCTTGGGGGACAGGTGCCGGCTTTGGGCTGTGCGCGACGTATTTGTTCTCTTTCTCTTTTTGTGCCAGGGTTTCTCTGGGCGGGCGCGCTATGCAGCGGGCAGCGGCGCTGGTCCGGCGGGGCTGCTGCCCGGGGACCCCCGGACCCTGGGGCCGTAGTCAGAGCAGCGCGGCCGCCGAGGCCTCCGCGGTGCTCAAGGTGCGGCCCCAGCGGAGCCGGCGCGAGCGCATCCTTACCCTCGAGTCCATGAACCCGCAGGTGAAGGCGGTGGAGTACGCGGTGCGGGGACCCATCGTGCTCAAGGCCGTCGAGCTCGAGCTCGAGCTGCAGCGGGTGAGCACAGGCGCCGGGACCGCCGGGTGGGAGGGCCACGGGGGATCAGGGGACGCTGATGGGAAAAGCAACAGCTGTCCCCTTCTGGGGTCCGCCCGCGGGACTGCCTTCCACCCCCGTGGCCAGCTTTCTTTCGGCCAAGCTTGGCTAAAACAGGAGAACGCCCTCCTCCCATCCCTTCACCCACTAGTGCCCGGCACCTGGGACGAAGTAAGGTCCTCAGATACGGTTCACTTGTTGAACTGAATTCATCAATTTTAATTGAGCGGCCCATAGTGCCAGGCACTGCTTGTTATGTGCCCATCCTACCCGCGTGGAACCGAGATCCACTGGGCGGGGGGAACAGCCACAAGCAATAAAGAAATCAACAAGAGAATTTCAGATAGTGGGTGAGTGCTTCGAAGGAAGTAAAATGGAGGAGCCGTGAAATGGGGGTGCTGGAGGGCTGTGGTGGGAAGGAGACCGCTGTAGGTAGGAGGGGAGGGAGGAAGCCTCTGAGGAGAGTTGGGTTTGTTCCCGAAGCTTTTTCGCTCTCTGTCTGAGACCTTTTGGGTCATTCTGTTAGTAAAGAGTGGGGATTTGGAGCGGGATCCTGCTGATTCCTTCCTTTAGGCCTTCTCTGGAACCTTGACTGACAGCCACATTTTGTTCTCTGTCTGAGGACGCAGTCACCCCCAGTGGGTAGTCAGAGGCTTGGGCCTTTTGGCCTTGGTGGGGTGGCCCTGGGACTTTTTTCGTCTTGGTGGCTGGCTGGCTGGGATCTTGGCTTGAGTTCACAGCTGTGTGTAAGATGACCACATACCCAGAGGTGATTTCTGCCCCCTGCGACCAAGGTGGCTGGGGGGTGTAAGAGATGCCCCTGTAGGATATCAGAGTTATAACCTCAGTGGGATTCAGGAGGCAGAGTCAAGGCAGAAATGTGAAAAAAGTCAGTACTCCTAAGATTTGTAAGAACTGGTGAAATAGTCACCCAGCTGCTTGCTCAAGATAGTTCTGACCCACAAAGGGGGTGGGGGAGGGTTCCTTGATCTTGCCCTCAGAGGCGTCAGAATTGGTCTCAGGGGTGGATTGTTCACTTAGTGTCCCTTGAATGCATGGGAGGAAGTCATGGTGGGACCATGACACTTGGTCCCCATTCCCACGGGGACTTTAGGAGTTTGATGAGCTCATGGCCTGCTGAGACCTCAGTGGGACAACCAGTTCTGCTGACTCAGGGAGCTAGACAAGTCAGAGTCCAGTGTCTCCCTCTGACTTCTTGCAGGGCTAAGTTTAAAGTTTGACCCGCAGAAGGCTGGCTGGGTTTCTGTGCCTTCCTGGCCCAGTGGTGGTCCACGGGCAGAGAACACTGTTTTTTGCTGGTTTGCTCCTTGTTGATATCTGGCAGACTCCAGTGGGCCCTCCTTGAGACAACAGTCTCCCTGTGAAAACAAAGCTGAGATTAAATTGTTCCCAGGTTATCACTTTACAGCTGATTTCTCAGGTTCTGGGAATTATCTCTACATTTTGCTAAATAGCAACTTGGGTGTAGGGCTCCGTGAAGTATGAGGATGACTAGGACAGAAAGGGGCACTATCTTTGCCTTCAGGGAGTTGACTGCCATCTTTTGCTCTGGGCCTGAGCCTTTTTTCCCCCAATTCTTTAAAGATTGGTGGGGTTTTTTTTAGCAAGCAGAGAAAATGTGAGAGCAATCCAGGTTGGAGCAGGACTGTGAGCAAAGACAGGAGGTTGGGAAGTTCCAGGCCTTTGTGGAAAGGGGCTGGTGCTGTCTGGAGAGTAGTGGCAGGGCATGTGGGAGACAGTGAGATGGAAAAAGTGGACTGGAGTCTTGTGTGCCAGGCTCAGGACTTGATGGTGCAAAGTTTTGGTATGGAGTGGAGAACAAGGAAGGATTTCCAGCAGGGTATGGCCCGATGATTGAGGAAGACAAATTTCTTGGTCATTTGGGCCGGAAACCCCCTGAGATTTTTGAGATGCATGCCCCACACTCCCGTATCCTGGCCCTGAGTCAGTTGAGACATTCTTTTTGTCCACCTGCATTCTCTGGTGCTTTCACTGAAGCTCATGCCTTCTCTCCTCGCTTGTTGAGTCTCAGTTGCCCGGCTCTAGGTGCTGGAGATCTGGCCCCAGCCAGGCCGACAGAGCCTCACTTAAACCTTTCATTCTTAGGAGACAGCCGCTCCCCACTCTGCGAACTTAAACAGTGCCCCTCTGAGAGGGCCATATTTTCCCAGTCATTTCTTTCTTTTTTTTTTTGGCTTGGCTTGACTTTGCACAACTTCAGTTTTTCTACCTCTCTTTTGAATTGTGTTGATCAAAATGACTGATATCATAAAGGCTTTGATTTGGTTAGAGATGGGCTGGGCAAGGATTTGTAGGGAGTAGGGTGACTTGGAGTGAGTCTCATATCCTCCTGGACTTTGGTTTCCCTAGTGTATAAAAGGAGGGAGGTGGCCTGGTGGGCCCAGGGTCCCCCCTGCCATGACTTTTGTGCCTCCTTGTCCATCTGAAGGTGTCCTGAGGAACCTGGGATGGCCCCCAGTGGTACCAAGGCCTTTATGCTGCCTTATGGAATCATTTTGCCAGGTGCTCTGAAAATAGTACCAGCTGTTTGGCTGGACACGTGGCTCTGGTGTTTGACTTTGGGGTGGCTTGCTAGGCGAGTCCCATCCTTCTTGCTTCTGTGGGAGGAGTGGAGAATGCTCAGGAGAGCCTGAAGGAGGAGGGGAAGTTGGGTAAGTAGGTGTGAAAGGGGCCATCCCCGGGGGCCTCCTGCAGCCTGGTCTGCGTGCTCTCAGGGAAGCCCTCTTTCTCCCTGACCACAGCTCCAAAAGGGAGAACTGATCAGCTTTTCAGCCCTGATGTTCATTGGGAGCAGCACTTAAAAATAAGCTGCAATTTAGTAGGAGTCTGGAAAAGATCTGTCAGTTCTCCCTCAACCTACTTCTTTTTCCCTGGCTTTACTGGGGCAGGGGAGGAAGTTGGCACAAGTGGAGACAGAGGGATGACTTTATTTCTGTTTGTGAAAGTACACCCTGTCAGAGCAAACATTCATAAATAGGAAAAACTGGTTACTACAGTCATGTGCTGCATAACCACCTTTCGGTCAAGGACGGACTGCATATGTGACAGGTCCTATAAGGTTAGTACCACAGCCTAGGTGTGCAGCAGGCTATACCATCTAGGTTTGTGTAAGTGCACGCTAGGGTGTTTGCACAATGACGTAATCACCTAACAGTGCATTTCTCAGAATGTATCCCTGTCGTTAGCAACACGTGGCTGTCCGGTTAACATCAGTGTGTGCTGCCTCTAAACACAGGAAAAAACAGGATGCTAGAGCTCCTGGTTCCGGTTAGCCAAGAGCCAAGACTGGGAACCCTGGGTGTGCTGAGCACAGGCGGTGAAAGCTCATTGGTCGTTTTCTTTAGAATTTAGATGCTGCTTTAAAATAAAGCAATTTGTAGTGTAGGCTTCCAATGGGATGAACCTCCCACCTGCCCAGGTCACCATGGACCTTCGCCCTGAGCTTCGCCTTCATGTGCTATGGGCCTCAGACAAGTTGTTCAGAGCACCTTGGCCTCAGTTTATTCCTCTGCAAAATGGGGCCAATTTCTCTCTCCTAAAGACTAGTTTGAGATGTTAGCGATGATGCAGCTGGAAGCCAATTAGAACTCTTAAGAGTCTGTTCTCAAGTGAATGAGCGTTCCTTGGGGAGAAGCGCTGAGGGCCCCCTTCCCTGGCCTTCCTCCTGCGTCCTGGGTCTGGGGACACGCTCCGCGGAGTTGGCTCTCCTCCCTGGGCCTTAGCCTTGCTGTCGTGAGTTATCCTGTTGGGAGCTCATTCGAGGTCATCCCTGCTTCTGCAGATGTCAGCTTCCAGGGCTGGCCCTCCCACGGAGCCCTCGAGCCCAAGGGCGACACCCAGCCTTCCCTGCTGCGCTGGTTGGGAACTCAGCCCTGGGAGCTCCCACCTCATTTGTTAAGCCTGGGCTCGGGTTCTACTGGCTTTGCTTGTCTTTCCGTGTGGTCGGGGCCAGGCCCTGTGCGCAGCCTCGGTTTCCTCAGCTGTGTAATGTGCCAGTTTGCGGGGACCGTGAGGGCTAGTTGGAGTTTGTCTCTGGGCCCTCGCTCTGGAGCTCTCTGTAGGACTTCTGCCTGCCCCAGTCCCGTCCATTGCCTTGGGGTCTTTTCACATGGGGCCCTCTCTCCGTCCCCTGTGCCCTGCCTGGGCTCTGAAGGGGGATGGCCCCTCCTATCTCACTCCTGTCACGGGGCATGGGTAATCCATAAGTATTTGTTGAATGAGAGGGAGGTTCTCTGGGGAGTAACCCTCCTACCAGACCTTCCCCCCACTTGTCACATGTAATGACAGGAGCCGTCTCTTGCTCAAAACTGCCTGTGCCTATTAGAATCATCCACCACCCCTTGACTCTCATGGTGATCCTGGGCAAGACGATGGTAAGTCTTTTTTCCTTCTCCCCAGTAATACTTTCTGAAATATGCCATCCCCAGAGCCTGGGGACCTATTGCCCTGATCGCTACTTGAGCCAAATGGTGGGAAGGGAGCCACCCCTGGTTAGGACTTCATCTCTGCCCCACAGGGAGGCAGCTCTGGGTGGGATGTGTGCCAGTGGATTAGATAGGAGAGCTCTAGGATGCTGTGAGAGGGAACTAGGATGCTATGTGCTGACCTGGCAGGCTCCTAGGGGCTGTGTTGAGGCAAGGTCACCGTTGGGTGTGCCTGCCAGGCCTGGATGAGTCACGGTAGGCAGGAGTCTGCCTCTGGCTCCTTGGTATTTTCCCAGCCCACGTAGACCTCAAGTGCCTAGATGCAGGAGTCTGCCCAGAACAGCCTCCTCTGTATGGTGGCCTTTGGCTGGGTAGACTGGTCCCCTGCCCATTCAAGGGCGCTATTTTCCCACCCCCACAGCTCGTCCATCAGAGCAGTGTCTGGGGTCTGCGGGAGTCCAGATCCAAGAAAGGGGATGTTCAGCGTTCCCAGGCTCCTTGTCAGCAGGTCCTGGGTTGGTTGAGTCATGCAGCGGGAGAGCACGGGAAGGAACACCTAGGGCTCCGTTCCAGGCATCATTCTCTCCCTGCACTGAGCTAGCCGAGGGCCCCCAGCTGTATGTTGGTTCCTGACCCTCGACTGTGACAGACTTACTCCCTACTGAAGAATGGACTGTGTCACGCCTTGGAAATCACCTGTGTTCAGCTGACCAGGCCTGTGGGGCTGTGGTGGTTCAGTCAGGCTAACAGAGGGTTCCATGCCAGGAGCCTGGGCCAGTGTCAAGGGGTGGGTCAGTCTGTCCCTTTGTACACAGTGGCCTGGGTCACTCCCACATCCCAGCCTTCTTGGCTGTTGCCTTTGAGATGAGCCCTGAGGCCACATACCCCACAGCCTGTCTACAGGGTGCCTGCTCTGACTCCAGGCCTAGCCCCGGAGCAGTGGGAGCACTGGCCCTCTGGACGCCAGCGGCTTCACGGGGCCCCCAGGGACCTTTTTCCACATCGGCCAGCCCTGAAGAGCTTGGTAGGGGGGGCAGAAGGGAATTAAAAGGCCTCTTTCCCCCCCAGGAATAGCTTTTGGAGACTTAGGCCCTGTTTGTGGAGGTGCAGGGCCATTTCTGGGGTGCCCCCCTCAGCCCCCAGGTCTCCTGGCTGCAGAAGCAGCTGAAGAGCTTCTGTGCGGAGGGACGGAGGGGACACACGAGGGCCGGGGGCCTGTCTGGCAGCTGCTCTCTTCCCTTAAGCCACTTAAGGTGTATATTACTGATCTAAAAACGATTAAGTTTTCTAAAGTTGCTTTCATTCACACATTGTGTGAAATGGAGAAAAAGACAAATGTCAAAACCATAGAATTGTATCTTTAAAACTTGTACTTAGGGTGCCTTTGGGGAAGGGGCAGCTGGAGACGGGAAGGTAGCTGGGCCTTCTACCCGGGCCACTGTTGGCACTGCCGCCTGCTCGCCCCACTGCCTTCCTCCACCGTGACCCTGTGACCTCCTTCCTCGTGTGGGTTTGTCAGTTGGTGACATTTGTACTCTGCCAAGCACTTCCATACTGTTTGTCTCAGATCATCCTTTCAGCTGCCCTGGGACGTCCTTGAACCCACTGTTGCTTCTGACTCTGCCAGTGGCTAATGCTGGATTTATCAGGCAGCTGTGTGGAACTCCCACATTTCCAGATCCCCACAATCCTCCATCCAAACTGCATCTTCTCATTTGCAGCAGCCAGGGTGTCCTTCAGTCACCTCCACGGTGACGCTGTCTCCAGGGTCTCTGAGTTCCTCCTCTCCCTGTCATCTCTTTTCTGTGCTAAACACAGTACTCAGATAGTGACCTCAATTTTACTCTTCAGCCAGTCTTTTCATCCCGTATGCTTTTTTTAAGAAAATGTGAAAATCAGCCCACATTCTTCATTCTTCAAAGCCAAGGTTGCAAGGGAATGACGGAGAGGTCCCTGCTGATGTATCTTCTGGAGGGAATAGTGGCCACAGTGCCCTTAGCCGTTTCCTTAGGCCATCAAGTGGAGCTGCCCTTCGGGGTGGTGGCAGGGGGTGTGGGACCCTCTCCCTGACAGCTGGCTTCTGCTGACCCCTCCTCTCTCCCACCATGTTTGCAGCAGGGCCCCCCTTTAGATACCCCTGTGAGGCAGCGGTCAGGCTGTGGACCTGCAGCTGCCTCAGGGTGCCCTAGCGGCCTGGGGAAGTTCCTCCAGCCTTTTCAGAAAGTGGGAGACGGTGGGGCATAGTGGTTAAGAAGAGTGATCTTGGATTCTGGCTTCAAATCTCTAGTACTTGTATTTATCAATTATGTGACTTTGGACAAGTTTCTTAACCTTTTGAAGCCTCAATTTCCTCATCTGTAAACAAGATTAAAATTGGTTCTTCCTCATGGGGTAGTTGGGAAGGTTAAATGCAGTCAGGCATGTTAAGGGTTTGGCACTATGTCTGACGCCTGATAAGGCTCAAAATAGGGTTGCTTATTAATATCCCGTGGGAGCATTGCATGACCTCTGGAATCCAGGGTCTGAGAGTCTCTAACCACCTGTTGCCTTCTGTCTGCGCAGGGTATCAAAAAACCGTTCACTGAGGTCATCCGTGCCAACATTGGGGACGCCCAGGCCATGGGCCAGCAGCCAATCACCTTCCTCCGACAGGTAAGCTGGCCCTTGGGAGCAGTGGCTGCTGGGAGCGCACGGAGCCGGAGGTGGTAGGGCCAGCCATCTCCTCTCACCTTTGCCTCCTTGCCTGTCAGGCCCCCTCAGGACACAGCAGGCACCAGAATCCCAAAGGGAGGTGCCATTGAGGTAGCAGACCCCTCCAGTGCCTGGTGTCCCCTGGTTCTCTCTCTCGGCCTCCTCCCCTTCCAAAGTTGTCCTAAATCCACTTTGGGGCTGCTCTAGTGTACAAGGCCCAGGGATGGTCTTCCATGGTGCATGGTCCTGGATGCTACATTCAGAGCTTGGCTGGTGAGGGCACCAGAGAGGTAGGCAGGAGAAGTAGAGGCCCAGTGGGCTGGGAGGTGGTGTATGGAGGTCCAGATACAGATTCCCAAGTGAGACACCCCAAGTTTGAGTGTTGGCTCTGCTGCTTACCCGCTGGGTGGTTTGAACAAGTGGGTTCACCAGAGCGCGGCCTCAGAGCACTGTTGGGGGCCTCGTGAGATGGTGAGCCTAAAGGCCTTGCCCGTGGCCAGCAGGAGAGTGTGCATGGGCAACCACTGGCAGCTGCTGCTCTCCAGGCTGCCTGCCAACGTGACCCAGCTCACCCACGAGGTCTCCAGGAGGCAGATTTCAGTGTTTCAGTTTGAGTACCAACTACAAGGATGCCGCATGGGCTGACACTGTGGGATTGGTGGACTGGAGGGGAAAAACAAAAGGCTGGAAAAATGCCTTAGGGCTGCCTGAACAGAGGCTGGAGACCAGCTATGGGGAAAGCTTGTTCCGGGAGAAGGACTGAGGCCCGTTTTGGAGTGAAATATGGTTCTTGTATGTGGCTCAGGTTCTTAGGCCGGGCCAGCAGGGAAGCTGAGCACCCCAGCCCCCTTTTCCCTGCCCGTGTCTCCTGCTGCAGAGGCTGGCACAAAGGAGGGGTGACCGTGCCCCACTATCTGGGCGGGGGGTGTCGGGGGGCCGAGGCCTCAGTCTGCAGCCCCTCGGGGAGTTCACACAGGGTCTGCGGGAGAAGAACTGAGGCTAGCACTGACCTGAGGAATGCCCACTGCGCCTCACTCCCATGGCCACTGCTGCTGACCTCAGGAGCAGGCCGGCTCCCCTGAATATCAGAGGCCCCAAGCTGGGCCCAGGGTGGGGAAATGGGTCAGAGCAAACAGAGAAAAGGAGACCAAACAGAGGGGTTCTGCCAGCGAAGTAGAGGCGGGAGAAGGTCGGGGGGCCTTGGCTGTCCTGGAAGCACAGAGCTTTCGAGGGAGGGGCGGAAAGTGGCCTCTCAGCCACATGTGCCTGGCCTCGGACGAGCAGGCTCCTGTTGCCTCAGCCCCTTCTGACTGGCTGGCGCATTCCCAAATCCAGCCCTGTGACTGGCCACCGCAGGCGCAGCCTCTCCACTTGGTGCTGGCCTCCTCCAGCCTTCACCATCTCCTCTGACCTGCGCAAGTGCCCCTGGGAGGAGGGCAGGCCAGGTCACCGCCCATTGTCCAGATGAAGAAAAGATGGGCTCCAAGAAGCCAGCACCTGCCCAAAGGCACCAAGCTGATGTCAGAGCCTTGAGTCCAGCCCCCACTCAGTGCCCTGGCACGGCTCCTAAGCTGCCAGCTTAGACTTGCCCGGTGAGCTGGGCTTTACCAGCACTTTTGCAAACATTTCCTTGCTTAATCCTCTTAATTTGTGAGGTTAGGGTGATTTTCTCTGTTACAGAGATAAGAACGGTGACAGGGTCTGACCAGGAAAGGGGGTGATGGTGAGGAAAGAGGAGGCGGGCCCGGGGTGCAGGGAGGGAGCTCGGGTGTGAGTAAGGAGGGGGTCTGTGCAGTCCTGCTCCTGTCAGCTGGGGAGTCACCTTCCTGCTCAGCCCTGGGCCCTGCTGCCTTGGGTGTGTGAGCTGCTGTCCTTTGTGGAATAGTTGGGGCCAGGGGCTGAGCAGCCAGCCTCCTGCTCCCTGGGTCCTCTTCTGGCAGCCCACCCGTGGGCTTCAAGCCCAGGTCATGATGTACCCCGCCTCTCCCCATCTCCCCATCTGCTGCAGAAAGCCCACTGTCCTCCTCCCCGCCCACCCCATGGTCCTCCAGCACTGTCCCTAAGAGTCACCATCTTCACGCCGTCTCCCGACCAGTGTCCTCGTGCTCCTCCTGGGACTCCAGGGTGGGGAGCGCTGGGAGTCCAGCCTGCACCTCTGTTCCCCCAGGTGATGGCACTTTGCACCTACCCAAACCTGTTGGACAGCCCCAGCTTTCCAGAAGATGCTAAGAAACGAGCCCGGCGGATCCTACAGGCTTGTGGCGGGAACAGCCTAGGTGAGGCCCTGACTTGCCAGGTCCTAGACGGCGTGAAACAAACTTATGTTCTCAGTCTGGGCCCCGGCCCCCGCCGTTGCAGAGGGTTATGCCTGTGAGTGAGTGTGCGAATGTGTGTGGGGCGGCTGACATGCAGAGTAGATGAGAAATAGTGTTCCTCTCCTGGCCCGAGCTCTGGTAGCCTCCTGTTTGCTGAGCTGATGAGGAAGGTGCCATCTTTCGGTGAGTTAGGGCACTTCAGGTGCAAGTGCCTGCATTTGGCTGGGTCTTGGTTACACCTGAGAGCCAGCTTCAACAGCCGAGCCTTCCGTCAGAGCAGAAGCTTTAACCCAGTGACTGGCCTTGGCGACAGGAGGCCGAGTGGAAGCGCAGTGCCCAGCTTTGTCTAGCCTTCTTGCCTCTCTGTGGTCCCCAGCTCCAAACACATGCCCACATTGTCTGGTGGCGGTCAGCTGCTGGGGAGGGCAAGCACTGCGAGATGCCTCTGAGCCCTGTGGGTGGCCTCCTGCGTTCTGCCTGTGCCGTCCACCCTCCCTTTCATTGTGTTGCTCCTCTCTGCTGGGAGCCCACACCCCACCTCTGCCTCCTACGGTGGGAGCACACCCAGCGCCGGAGGGCTCCGTGGAGGGAGGCCCCAGGATCTGGCCCTTAGATGTGAAAATGGTATGCTCTCCCCTTCTCTGCTGAGATGGATTTCCAGCCTCTGGGTCTCGTGCTCTTTGTTCTCCTTTCATGTTCTTTTCTGTTTACTTTACAGAGGCGATCCAGCTTCCCTTGCCCAGAGGAAAACAGTTTTTCTTAGAGCTTTTTAGGACACACACCTGAATGTTCTGGAATGTGGCACAGGGATTCTTGTGGCTTTCTCAGCAGGGGATCAGCCACCCTTGGCCTCTCTGTCGTCTCCCTGCCTCTCCCCTCCCCTTTTTCTCCTCTGTCCCTTTATCAAGAGCATTGTAAAGAGCATTGTAAAGTAAGCATATGCTTACTTTCCTGGCTGTGGTCACCCCACCAGCCCCCTGTCCGAGTCTGGGCTCTGTCCTGAGTGGCGTCCCTCTCAAGAAAGGGCCAGCCGCCCCTTGCTTTCCTGCCTGCCACCCTGGATGGGGTGTGGGCCAACACGTTGTGTGGCAAGGCCTAAACCACAAGCTGGCAGACAGCAGCCCAATAGCCCAGAGGCCTGGCCTCCAGGCTCCTTTCCTCCTGCACCCTCTGCCCGGCCCTGAGAACAAAGGTGCTTCTCAAAACCCAGTGGCTCTGGGCCTGAGACTCCTGGAAGCCGCAGCTGAGAGGGGGAGAGAGGGCGGTTGCCGCCTGCGTGTCTGACGTGACCGTCTGGAGAAGGGGGAGGGGATCTTTGTTCCACCTATGAAGCCTCATCAACAAGCTTGTGAAACTCGGTGTCAGCCAGTGCTGCGGGAGGGGGGCTGGGAGGCCAGGTCCATGAGCCCCTCTGGGTGTTGTAGCAAGAGGACTGTTTGCCTTTGGGGTTTGGGGCCCGCACTGAGTTCTCAGGAGCTCCTGAGGACAGTGAGGTAGGTGCTCTCTGGGCCTCTCTCCTCGTCCTTGAACTAGGAGGACTTTGTCCTCACCTCCTGGGCTTGTGAGGAAGGTTGGCCTGTGCTGAAGCCCCTTGTCAAATATGGAGAAGCCCCGCCCAGGGGTCACTACCAGGCCCTGCCCATTGCCGGGACAGTGGGAGCTGGTGTTCTGTGCCAGCTAAGCCTTGGGCAGCCTGAACACCTGCCCGTCAAAGGAAAGGAAATGGAAAATGTCATCGTGCCTCAGGGCCACCCTGACCCAAGTGGGGATTGTTAAATGAGTGCACGAAGTCTCAGAGCTCACCCAGATGTGTTTTTATCATGCCCTTTAAAACTATTTATTTCCGGGCCTTCATTTATTTTCTGTTTGAAAATGGGTAGTTCAGTTATCAGGTGTTGAGGTAAAACCTAGACACACCTGCAGGAGGTGTGAGATCTGTGACCTCATCCAGCCCCTCCCTGAGCACACACTCTGTCCCAGCACTGCAGGACACTTCCCAAACAAGGCAGATGGAGTTCCTGTGCTCGCAAAGCTCTCTGTCAGATCTGGGAGAAACAAACATTAAAAAGAATTCACACAAAAACATAACCCCTAGTTTTCATGAGTTCTTGGGGAAAGAGTAGAGAGTTGTGGGGTTATAACAAGGGATTCTAATGTAGAGGGAGGGTTTAAGGAGAAAGTGGTATTCAAATTCATGTGGCAGATGAGTAACAGAGAACCTGCAAATGCTTTCCAGATGGAGGAAATGGTGTGTGCAAAGGCCCTGAGGTTTAAGAACTGAGTGTGATAGAGTGAAGGGGTCTGGGTGAGGTGGTATGCAGTGAGGCCAGGGAGTTTGGAGGTGGTGATGATGCCACTTTGTAGGCTGTGGGAGGGAGGCAGGCTGCCATCAGTCTTGGGGCATTGGGTCCTAACCCAGAGGGGTGGATGGGGCCCAGCAGGGGGATAGATGCTATAGCAGAGATGCACAGAAGAAATAGATAATGGTCCTTGCCTTCAAGGAACTTACATTCAACATGGGGAGGCAGGGCTTCATCTGTATAAAATAAAATAGGTGGAGAGAGGCTGGGCTGGGGCAGTGTCTTGAGGATAAGCCCTCTGCAGAGAGACTGCATCTGAGCTCTGAAGGAGCAGTGTGGTCTGGAGCAAACAGAAGATCTAAGGGAAAAGGGGGGAAGGTCTGCAGCCTGCAGGAGCAGGGAGCTTGCCTGGGGGAAGGCCTCGAGTGAGTGAGAGGCGGGAAGAGGAGGAGGCTCGGCAGGCCCAGCATTCGCACCTCCCACTTTGTAAATTTACAAACTATTTCAAACGTGTTGGAGATATGTAGCACGAGACTGCACCCGCCACCCAGACTTGATACACTTAATGTTTGTCATTTGACCCTTAGAGAAGGGGTCCAGCCCACCCATTTTACAGCTGTCGCGGGGCAGGGCAAGCCCAGTGCTGTGCAGAGGCTGAGGCAGAGCCCGGCTGGCGCTTCTGCAGGGGGAGCCTTAACTGTGCGCCTTCTGGTGCAGGGCCAGGACTGACCTGCGCTGAGGCCCGGAGAAAATGGCCTCCTTTCCGGAGCCCAGCTTGCCTCCTGGTGGTGTTTTGCAGTAGCCTTAGAAGGAACAGGCCAGTTTTCTTTATTTTTTTTAAAGATTTTATTTTTTTCCTTTTTCTCCCCAAAGCACCCTGGTACATAGTTGTATATTCTTAGTTGTGAGTCCTTCTAGTTGTGGCATGTGGGACGCTGCCTCAGCGTGGCTTGATGAGCAGTGCCACGTCCGCGCCCAGGATTCGAACCAACGAAACACTGGGCTGCCTGCAGCAGAGCACGTGAACTTAACCACTCGGCCATGGGGCCAGCCCCCAGTTTTCTTTAAACGTGGGCTAAAAGTCAATAGTGTAGAAGGATATCGAGTAAAACATCTGCCTGCCTCCTCTGACCCCGGCCTGCTGGTGCGCTTCCCTGGAGAATTCGCCTCCCCAGTTTGTCTTCTTCCAGAGACATTTTGTGCAGGCGTGAGGACCTATTTTGAATTTCTTTCTGAAAACGTAGTGGCCTGACATTTTAAAAAACATTTTATCAAAACAGTAAAATGCACATATATGAATGTACAGCTTGAATAATTTTTGCACACACCTGTGTAACCCTGACCCAGACCCAGATGTTGAACATCCCCAGCACTGCGGGGGCCCCTGTGTGCCCTTGATAGTGCCCCACCCCCTCAACGGCCACCACTGTTCTACCTGCCAGCACTGTAAATTAGCTTTGCCTTTTTCTTGAACTTCATAAAAATGGTGGTCTGGATTTTAATCCTAAATGGCAGCCTGAGGATATTGTTGACATGGGGTGGGAGTAGGGGGTCATGCCCAGCAGGTCCAGGGATGTGTGGTTAGTGCTGGTCGGGGCTGGCAGATGGTGCCGTTTTGGGTTGACCCATTCTCTCAAGTTCTGTGGACCCCTGTGGAAGCAATGGTGATAAAAGCAGAGCAAGCCCAGCTTTAATGATTTCTACTGTCAAGCCCGTGTATAAGTCCCAAGAGGGGGTAAAATAGCGACGGGCACCATTTAACTAATTAGAAGCCAGGGCCTAGGATACTGCTTGACGTATAGTAGGTTCTCAGTAAATACTGGGTGGATGGATGGATGGGCGGTGGATGGATGGATGGGCGGATGGATGGTGAGTAGGTAGGTAAGAAGGTGGATGGTGGATGAGAGGATGGGCGGATGAAGCCGGACATGTGGTTAAGCAGCTTGCCACAATTCCAGAGCCCTATCCGAGACCTCCCCAACTCCCTCCCCCAGTTAATTATATGGATATCACGGACCCTATGGAGCCAGACACCCTGCCTCTAGTCACTATCTTGCTGGCTGTCTTACAGGGTCTTACAGTGCTAGCCAGGGTGTCAACTGCATCCGTGAAGATGTGGCTGCCTACATCACCAGGAGAGATGGCGGCGTGCCTGCAGACCCAGACAACATTTACCTGACCACCGGAGCTAGTGACGGCATTTCTGTACGTGAGAGGGTGGCTCATTGTTGTCCAGTGATCACTCACACGGCAAACAGCCTTGCATGTTAGGGCCAAGCGTGCGAGCCCACTGGCAGGGAGACAGGCCTGGGAGGAGGGATTGGCCACCCTTTGGTCCCTGCTGTCCACCCCATCCTGGTAGCCTGCTGCCCTTACCGCATTCACTCTTCATGAACCTAGATATGACTGCAGCCTTAGTGTCTCCCCAGAGTGCACACCAACAGGTCCAGCTGAGGGCACATGAGGGTGCCCGTCTTTCTGGCGTCACTGGCCTTTCCATCACTCAGCACGTACTGCTGTTCCTCCTCTGCCAGGCACTGTGCCAGGTGCTGGGAGACCGTGGGGAACCAAACATGTTTGACCTCTGCTCACACACTAGTGCTGGATCAGACTGGCATTGATGTCATATAACTGTCACATCACAAGCTTTCCGTTCCTCTTCTGGGTGAAGAGGACAGAGTGCTACGAGACAGAGCAGCAGGGACTCTGACCTGGGGGCAGGGGCAGAAGGTTTCTCCAGGGAAGGCTGAGCAGATGGAGACCCGGCAGATCGGCAAGGCGGGGGCAGGAGTGCAGTGGGGAGGCCTTGAGCTGGAGGGAGGCCGCCTGTTTGGAAATGGAGGGTGAGGGCCCGTTACCAGGAATGGGCTGGAGAGGTGGATGGGGCCTTAGAGGCCACACTGAGGATTTGGGTTGTCCTCGTAAGAGCAGTAGGGAGCCACTGAAGGATTTGAAGCGGGGGGCGCATAATTAGATTTATGTTCTTAAGTCTTAACTATGGCGGGGGGGTGCATAGTAGATGTGAGGGAGTATTGGAGGCGAGAGAAGAGGTGGTGTCAGCTGTGGACGGGGTGAAGAGGGGCTGGTAGCAGTGGTTACTTAGCAGAAGGAGTCTGAAACCCTGGGTCTGAGAGCTGCCTTCCGTCCCCAGCCCGTATGCTCGTCCCAGCGCCTCGGCGGTGCCAGGTGCCCTCAGCTCACTTACTCACCCTACTCGGGGGCGTGTGCTGTCTGAGCCCTTCCTTTAATGGGGTTATCTTTGTCTTTGTCGCCTGGCCTCCAGTGCTGTTATTTTTTGACACTTGTTGGGGGCTTTAATCCTTCCCCAAAGCCTTTCAGATGCATTAAACTCTTCTTGGAGCCCGTGAGGACACTGAGGCCCAGAGACATTAAGTGGTCTGCCTGCTCTAAGTCAGCATCTTGTGGCATTTGGGATTCTAGTGTTGGAGCTCAGGCCCCCCAACCATGGCACATCCCATGGTGTTCTGCTGTCGTGGCCCCTCTCGATTGCTCGAGCAGCCCAGGTACAGACAGAGGTCCTGGAGGAGGGGAGGGAGGTGCCCTCAAGATTTAATGAAAAGAATGAAGTCATGGTGCTTTTGAATACAGTGGCGTTCTTGCAGCAAGGCACTGAGTCTGAGAAATGACTTAAGTCCCTGGCGGGGACTCGCCAAAAAGAGGGTTTAGCTTATTAAGTCAATGAATTACTGCCACCTCCACCAGTACCCCACAGGGTTCCCATGGCTGGTTTCTCAGGAACCCTGCGGATGTGGGGCCCACTCAGTTTTGGAAACAGCTAGGTTGAAGCGCCACCTGGTGGTAGTAGATGGGTATTTTATCCCATTTCAACAACCCCTTCGTTGTCTGGCCTCAGCCCCTGACAAGACAGACTTCTGGCCCCACCCCAGACATACAGAATGAGTTTCAGGGCTGAGGTCAGAATAATTCTGAGCCAGGGCCAGTTTGCAGACTGCCTTAAAAGACCTCTGTAAAAAAATACCCACTAGCATCAATCAAGTCTTTCACTACGGGCCATGCACTGTGCTGAGAACTGTAAAGCATTTTATTTTGCCTGTTCCTCACAGCACCCTCATTCTACAGATGAGGAAAGCGAGGCCCGGGGAAGTTGAGTGACTCACATGGGGTTGCACTGGAAGCAGCCAGTGGGTGGCTGGGGAAAGGCTGGAGTTGGGGCCTTCCGGCTTGTCTGCCCGTCCGCCGCGAGGGGTGGGAGTGGCCATGCCCTGTGAGATGTGACTTCTTGGTTGCAGACAATCCTGAAGATCCTGGTCTCCGGGGGCGGCAAGTCACGGACGGGTGTGCTGATCCCCATCCCGCAGTACCCCCTCTACTCAGCAGTCATCTCCGAGCTCGATGCCGTCCAGGTGAACTATTACCTGGATGAGGAGAACTGCTGGGCCCTGAATGTGAACGAGCTCCGGCGGGCCGTGCGGGAGGCCAAAGAGCACTGTGACCCCAAGGTGCTGTGCATCATCAACCCCGGGAACCCCACAGGTCTGCGCTTCATTTCCTCGCCAGTTTCTTGGGCGGGCGGGCAGAGCCCCTGGTGTACTGGATGTCTGGACTCGAAAGAGTTAAGAAATAACACGGAGTCCTCTTTGCTCCCAGTTTCCCCATCCAATTCCAGATTTGCTAACGTAAGGCTGTAAAATTTGCCACAGGCCACTTAGGAGGTGAGCAAATGCAGGCGTTTTCTTGGGCAGGGTTGTATTATTATTAAGACCAGTATTTTTCCTGTTTTTGTATTTGTGAAGAATCTCTTCCTTGAGGTTACACACAAGGCATTACCAGTAATCAGAGGCCTCATTTTACCTTTCCTCCTAAACCAGTTTTCAGAATGCTGGCCTGTGCGTTTTTGTTTTCTTTGACACAGCATTGTCATGTACTTTGAGGCCTGGAAAGGAAATGCTGTATTAAAAACAAAAGCAAACAAACCAAAAAACCTATTTCCAGAAGTTGAAAAGCCCTCCTAATTTTGCATATTTTTCTTTAAAAGAAAAAAAAGGGCACAGTCCTGCCTGTTTTGATCTTTCCAGGCCGCTGGCTTTATATGCTCACAGTGCTGTTTGGATGCTGAGAACAAGAGCTCCTCTCTCCTCCTTTGTTGAGACAAATTGGGTCAGGGCCAAAATGCCTTGGAGTTGATTATAGAATCTGCTTCTTGGGAACATCAAATGATGCTTCAGTCAGCTGGAAGCACCGCTTGAATTCCCAAGTGCAGAAAATGGGTGCAGCTGGCTGTGACACTGCTTTGTTTACACCAGCTGCTTGGGGGAAGGGGTGAAGATTCTAACCATGATACAGTAGGAAAATGACAGAGCTGTGTTCTCAATCCTGGTTGCACATTGGAATCTCAAAGGGAGCTTTTAACAATGCCAAAGGCCAGGCCGCATCCCAGAATCTGAGGATGGGGCCCAGGCGTCAATATTCTGTGCAGCTAAAGATGAGAAGCACTGCCCCAGGACAGAGGCTCTCAAACTCTAGCTTGTTAAAATACAACTGCTGGGCCCCACTCCCAGATAATTCAAATGTAATTGGGCTGGGGGAGGGCTTGAGAGTTTGCATTTCCAGCAAGCTCCTAGGTGATGCTGATGCTGCTGTCCCACACTTGGAGGAGGAAGTCTGCCATCTTAGGAGATACTCTGCATGCTTACTTTATATCAGAGTTGGTGACTTCTCGGCCAGGTGTTTACATAAATCTTTTTACTTGGCTGTCTGGGAAGAAAGAACCACACCAGAGACTTTCTGTTTTAGGCAAAGCATTCATGAGAGTGCATATTAATATAATTCATTTTTAAAGAGTAACTTGATGAGGGGGCAGCTGGTTTTGCTCCGTCTTAATGTGTAAAGTTGAGTCAGCTACTAGAAGATGGGGCATAGAAAATAGAAACTGACCTGTGATGACCACGTACCTTGTCTGGACCGCTCACTGACCACTTTGGCTAAAAGGTGTCAATATGGACTGGTATGTTAAGCCCGGGCTCTTTGGGTTTCAAGACAGAAACCCAGCTCAAGGCTGAAGGGAGTGGCTCATGGAACTGTACAGTCCCAGGGGCAAAGCAGCACACCTGAATCAGTGTCATTGTCGCTAGGAACCTCAGTCCATTTCCCTGCTCCCTTCTCAGGAAGCATCCGTCCTTGGAGTGGCCTTCGGCAGCTCCAGCACTGCCCATCAGCTGAACATCCCCAGCAGAGAGCCTCTCATGGTTTCAACAGAAGTCCCAGGCCAGATTCTTTTTGGCTCAAGTCTTGTCACCTGCCCATCCCTGAACCAGTCAAATCACTGAGACTCTGGCTGGGTCTGTGTCCCTTGCCCCATGCTGGAGTGCAGAGAGAGGGAGTTCCCCATAGGACGGCTGAGCTCTGTTACTCCAGGGGAGCCTGCTGGGCAGGCAAAAGCAACAGATGTTCTGGCTAGTTTGCGGGAAATTCCTTTGGCCCAGCCTCTGGTGAGAGGCTCCTGGGAGACCCCTCTCCAGCCTTCAGGGCCTGTAGCAAAGCCACCTCTCTCTGAGGTGGTCTCCTGTCTCCCCCTGCTGGGCACAGCTGTGCCCTGGCCCCTCTAAAGCCATATATGACTCTCCCTTCTACACCACTGCATATGCTGTCCATCATTGGCTCAGCAGGGGTGTTCTGAGTGACTGCTACGTCCCAGGCACTGGCGAGAAATAAGCTCTGTCCTTGTCCCCAAGCTTGCATTGCACACATCAGTGAAATTAGCTGTGTACAGTGGGTCTCATTCCCTCTACCATGCTGCTGGCTTTCTGAGGCTCTGGGCCCTGCTCGTTTCCTCTTTGCACTCCCCCTGGCATCATGTGCACATGGCTTTGATGTTCTCGGTGCTCCAGTCTTTGCTTTCATTCTGACAAGATATAGTTTGAGGGATCACAGGCATGGAAGGGCAAGACCAGGAGCGTTTGCAGGCAGGCTCTGCCCTCTGGGTAGCCACCCCGTGTCTGTCTATGGGAACAGTGGCTGATTCCTTGTAGAATCCAGGGCTACTGCCCTTCCGGAATCCAAGAACCTGAGCTTGCTTCCTGGGGAGCCTGGCTAGTGCTTGCATGGCAGGAGAAAAGTTGATCCCTTTGTAAAGGAATTGGTTCATTGCTTGGATAGTTCAAGTCTGAGATCCTGGCTGAATCGTACCATGCTCTTAGAAGACACTTCTATATATTTTTTTTTCACGCATTCTTGATATTCTTGCCTAGACAAGAATATAGGTGTTTTAATTTTTAACAAAAAGGTAACATACTTTACATACTGCTCTGCATAAAGATGTGTATATATGTATATATAAATAATACGTGTGCATATATATACACACGTAGACATGTGTAATGTCCCTAGATACACGCATATGTGTAGGAAAGAAACAGCCTTTATGAGGAGGTCAGCCAGTCTGACTGTAGTGGTGCTTTTCCAGAGCACATGCGAGCTCCTCAGACATCTCCAGGGCCACGCTGACACGGTCTCAGGAAATACTGGGCAAAGGCTCCATTTCCACCTGTTTGCATTTGTTCCTTTCCCCATCTAAACCCGTGGCATTTCCTGTGAACTGATGGATTAATATTTTGCTATTTACACTCGTTTCTCTGACATGGGTGGTGAGTGTTTCCACTGTCTGTGTTGAGTCACCGTCAAGGGGGAGCCCCTGAAAGGGAAACTGCAGACACAGCCGCTGGCAGCCCCCCCGAGCTGGTGTGCAGGCTCATTCATGTAGCGCGGCAGGGCTTGTGCTGCAAATGTTTACTGAGCACCTGCTGAGCGCTGGCTGTGAGGGCAGCCCGTGGGCCGTGCTGGCCTTGTCCCTGCCTTGCCGAGCCGTGTGCCTCTCTGGGGAGACGCGGCCCTCCCTCGGCAGTTACTGGTGTGTGGGAAGAGGGGAGCTGAGCTGATCGATGGCACTCCTCTGGTTTTACTGGCCTGCTCTTTAGGGTGCTTCGCTGCCTTCTTCTCCTCCAGGACGACAGACAGACAAACACACCCTTCTCCCCACACGCCTCTCATAAGAATGACAAGGAAGTTGGGTGGGAAACACTACTCTCTCCGCCTACCTGGCTTTAGTGAGGCAGAAGGAGGGGGCTGACCCTCCAGCTATCCCTGGAGGTTAACTACACCCCCTCAGGCACAGCAGCTAGGGAGGGTGGGCCCTTAGGGTCATGAGGGAACACAGGACACCTGAGTGATTCTGGGTGGGATTCTTGCCTGGGGACAATTTAAACAGCATTACAACCTGCATTCTGGTTTTGTTTGGGGATTTTCTAGGTCAGGTGCAAAGCAGGAAGTGCATAGAAGACGTGATTCACTTCGCCTGGGAGGAGAAGCTCTTTCTCCTGGCCGACGAGGTAAGAGCAGCCCAGCCTTCAGAGAGGGCGCGCTTTCTCTTCCAGGGGAGAGGCCAGGCCTGACTGTTCTGGCCAGAGAGCTTTCTAGGTGTTGGAGGAGAGATTCTAAGTGAGGATGAGGATGTTCAGTGTTACAGCCTATGAGACTGTGACCTAAATCATCCCCATATTGGTTTAGGCTCTTGGTTATAAATTTCAGAAATCTAACCCAAACCACTTTAAACTTAAAAAGAAAAATTAAAAGGTGGTGGGCTGGGGCCAGCCCGGTGGCACAGCGGTTAAATGCACATGTTCCGCTTCAGCGGCCCAGGGTTCGCCGGTTTGGATCCTGGGTGTGGATATGGCACCGCTTGGCAAGCCATGCTGTGGTAGGCATCCCATGTATAGAGTAGAGGAAGACGGGCACAGATGTTAGCTCAGGGCCAGTCTTCCTCAGCAAAAAGAGGAGGATTGGCAGCAGATGTTAGCTCAGGGCTAATCTTCCTCAAAAAAAAAAAAGTGGTGGGCTCACAGGTGTGGGGCTGGACCCAGGGCCTCAAACAGTATCTTCCAGATTCTATCTCGTTCCATCCTGCTGCACTGGCGTCACGCACGGGCCTACCAGCTGCCCAGCCTAGAAAGAACATTTCTTCTTGGGAGTTCCGGCAGCAGTCTCAGAGTTGGGCCTCGTTGGTGCAGCTTGGGTCAAGCTCCCACTGCTGAACCAATCACTGTAGCCTGGTGGCTGCAATATGCAAACTGGCCCTGAGCAAGGGGTGGGGTATCTGCCCTTCCATCCCAAACCTGGGGACAGAGAGCAGGGGAGGGGTGCTCCCTGAGGGCAAGTCAAGGGGCTCTTAAGAAGGGAGGGGGTGCTGGATGGGCACAGTGCTGTGATCCTGTGTCCCCTTGTGCTTCCATAACCATCGTCTCATTTAGTTCTCACAGCAGCCTGTGAGGAAGGGGATCTTAATTAACCCCATAGCTGCTGCTGCTTGAACCCCAGTTCTGGAGCCAAGGTCTGCCCTTTCTTTTCCTGCTTTGCAAGGAAGAAATTGAAGACCTGTCAAATTCCATTTTCATCTCATCTTCTGCGTGATTTCTGGTTAGCCGTAGCTTCTGGCACACTACCTTTCTTTGCTCCTTAGCACCCCCCTACTCACTCACTCACACAGATACACACACACACCCTTACCCAGCAAAGTGTTGTCATAATTACCAGCAGATGAGCCTAAAATCTTCATTTCTGGAGGAGAGAAGGGGCAGCAGAGTGACCCAGGGTTTTCCTCCTGACCTGGGCAAGCCCCTCCCCTCTGGGTCTGGGAGGGGGAGGAGGAGCTGGACTCCTCCTGGCTTATTGAAGCGGGCCCTGGGCTGACCCTCCCGCAGCCCCACGGTGCCCCAGAGAGCCTCGGCCCTGATCCCCGTGGGGTGGGAGGCTCATCTCCAGGGCAGAGCAGGGCGCTGCCTGCTGCGTGTGTGCCATGCGGCCAGGGAGGAGCATGTCCACAGTGGTGGGAGAGACTGACAGAGCAGACAGAGGACGAAGGAGTCCCAACCAGGCAGGTGTCCCCAGGGCTGAGAGCCACACGCTGGCTCGTCAGGTAGGGAGACCAGAGCACAGGTGCAGGAACTGCCTTCCTCACTCCTCTTGAAGGAGGTGAAGCCTGCACTTCAGGAAGAACACTCGCTCTGGCAGCTGGGAGTCCTTGACAGCCGCTGGTCAGATGAAGTAGAAAAGAGATCTGGAGACTGGGTGGGGTGAATGTGGGAGAAATCAAGTGGACGTCCGGCCCGAGTCCTTTCCTCCTCACTTGTTCTGGAAAGTTTCTTCGGGCACATTCTGGCTCGTGCCTGGAAGCGTCCTCAGAAGCTGGGCTTCACACGATGCAGCCTGACTGCAGGTTGGCCCTGAGCACTGTGCCTCCCGCGGAAGCGCCTGCGTGGCTCAGCCTCTCAGGGCCTTTGGGCCTGTCCCCGTCCTGTCCTCTCCTGCAGGTATACCAGGACAACGTGTACTCTCCCGGCTGCAGGTTCCACTCCTTTAAGAAGGTGCTTCACGAGATGGGGCCCGAGTACTCCAGCAACGTGGAGCTCGCCTCCTTCCACTCCACCTCCAAGGGCTACATGGGCGAGTATGTCCGCTTCCACTCCCTCCCACTGCCTCTGGGTCTGCTGGTCCCAGTGCTCCTCTGCCCCGCCCCACAGGCGACCCACTGGACAGAGAAGGCCACCCTTATCTGTGGCCTCTGCTGATCTAAGAAGCAGGAGGAGCGAGGCCACCCCTCTGCGAGGGGAGCCCAGTGGGGTGAGGACAGCCCTCGTGCAAGGGCTCAAATAAAATAAGGTGAAGCTTGGAGGAAATCAGACTGTGGATAAACGATGAAATGAAAAGAGGACCTCAAAGCAGCTTCCGGCACTAGTGTTTTCTGCCAGCCCTGTCACTCTGACGTTGACTGAAATGGCCAAAGAAGGCAGGTTGAGCAGACAAGTGCTGTCAGGCCAGTGAGCCAAGCTCTGTGCAAAAGCTCTGTGCATGACCACAGGGGCCAAAGAGTCAGCTTCCATCCTAGATTGTTCACTCAGCTAAGGTTTGTTGAGCTCCTGCAATGAGTCCAGCACTCATCTGATCACTGAGGTCGTAGCAGTGAGCAAACCACAGCAGACTTGCCCTTACACGGCTTATGTTCTGGTCAGGAGAGAGAGGCAATAGACAGATTAGAAAAATTGGGTGTCAGGTGGACAAAAATAATTAGAGAACAGATGGGAATGGCAGAAGCTGGGGGTGGGCTTACTGAGTTGGCTTTTGAGGTAAGACCTGAAGGAGCTGAGGGAGGGGGCTATGCAGATATCTGAGGGAAGAGCATTCTAACAGAGGGAACAGCATGTGTGAAGGCCCTGAGGTAGAAGCATGCATGGCATGTTCAAGGAGCAGCAAGGGGACTGGAAAGGAGTGAGTGAAGGGGTAAGTGGAATAACTTAAGACCAAAGAAGTCGTAGGAGGCCAGATCACCTGGGTTACTTGAGTTATTTTTTACTTTTGCTCAGAGTGAGATGGGAGCCATTGGAGGGTGTTAATAGGGTCATGATCTCACCTGACTTATGTTTTACTACACCCTCTCTGATTGCCGTGGAATGGGGACGGAAGTGGGAACCCAGTCAGGAGACTATTACAATCCAGGCAAGGTATCGTGGCCAGGGTAGAGATGGGGAGAAGACGTTGGATCCTGGATATATTTGAAGATAGAGTTGACAGGAGCTGCTTGATGGAAAAGATGGATGTGAGAGAGAGGAGTCAAGGATGATTCTTAAGTTTTTTGTCTGTACGACAGGAAGGCTGGAGTTGCCATCAGTAGACGAAGGCTGGGAGGGAAGGGACTCTGAGGAGCTGGTTTGGGACATGGTAATGTTGCAAGTGCCCGTTGATGTCCAGACAGAGATGGATGTGTGAGTCTCAGCTCAGAGCTGATATCCAGCTGGAGATTTAAGTTTGGGAGATGTCGGTGTATGAGCTGTTAGAAAGTTCTCTAAGCCTAGATGTCGTGCAAGGAGTGGTTATAGGTAGAGAAGAGGTCCAAGGGCTGGGCCTGGGTCCTCACTGCTCAGAAACTGGAGGAGGAAAGGAGGAACCTGCAAAGGAGACTGAGAAGGAAAAACCAGTGCATTCCCAGCTAAGAGCGTTCCTTCCTCACCTTTGTTGGGATGCTGCCCTGTGCCGGGCATCAGGCTGGGGGAGGGTCCGGCTTGTTAAGCTGGAGGCCAGTGTAATTGAAGCTGGAAGAGGAGCTGTTGAGGTTGAGGGAGCTGCCCCTTGGGATGATTGCCCAACTGTTCTTGGCTTTATTTGGTGTGGGCAGGGGTTAATTTACGCTGGTCTTTCTGGTCTAGCCTGTAGCAGTGCCGGCTCCTTGCTAGATTTTCATGTACTATGTAACTCTTTTCCTAAACAAATGTGTTCTCTGTTAACTCACTTTTCAAACTCAAGTGTGTTTATCACGTGCCTATCCATCTCTCCATCTGGGTTATTGATTACTCTTCTAACAGTCAGTCCCCTGGACGTTGGTGTCCTGAGTCCTGGCCTGGTGCCCTCAGATCCTGATCACCCAGGATTCGGCTGCTGTGCTCCGTTGGATTTTCTGCTCTCAGCAGAGGATTCAGCAGAAAGTTCCTTCTTTCAGTCTTTGTAACGGGAAAGCTTTTGAGATGCCGGAATTTATCTTTCTGCCTTGGAGAGTCCAGTCGTGGGATCACATGGGGATCTGCTTTGCCAGTTTAGTTCGGCGGGCTGACCCCAAAAGTGCTGGATTGAGTGTCTCATCGTGTGAGGTGCTCCAAGGTTCAGGGGGCGGCAGTGTACAGAGGAAGGTGGGACCAGGCTCCCGCCCCAGGGTGCTTGCGTGCCTGCAACTGCTAGTCTGAACGTTGTCCTCACAGCCCAGAGGAGGCCCAGCTCCAGGAAGGGTGGCTGATGGAGCTGATTTGGTTCCGAAAGTTGTTTTTTTAACTCATTGCATGATCTCAGCTTGTTTTCATGTAATTAGAGTCTGTATCAGTCAGGATCCTTTTGGTGGTAAGTAACAGAAACTCAGCTTGAATTGGCCCAGTCAAAGAGGCTTTTGTTTTTTAATCCATATTGGTAAAAGGTCCAGGAGTAAAGTTGAGTCAGAGACTTAAAGATGTGACTGAGTCGGGGGGGGCCGGCCCGGTGGCGCAGTGGTTAAGTTCATACATTCCACTTCGGTGGCCCGGGATTCATCGGCCCGGATCCTGGGTGCAGACATGGCACTGCGTGGCACACCATGCTGTGGTAGACGTCCCACATATAAAGCAGAGGAAGATAGGCAGGGATGTCAGCTCAGGGCCAGTCTTCCTCAGCAAAAAGAGGAGGATTGGCAGCAGATGTTAGCTCAGGGCTAATCTTCCTAAAAAAAGAAAAAGTCACTGGGATGCTGTCTCTGCTTTCTTGCTTTTTCTCATTTTCTTTCTCAGCTCTGCTCTCCTTTGCGTTGGCTTTGTTTTCAGGCAGCAAAAAGTTCCAGCAAAAGTCCTCAGGCTGACGCTCTTTAACACCTGTGAATCATGTGCCCACCCCTGGAGCCTGTGCAGGGGAATGCCAGGCCTGAGTCATGTGCCCCTTTGGAGCGGGGGCTAGTGTATTAGGTATGGTTTGGGCTAAGCTGCTATAACAAACAGAGCCAAAAGTACAGTGGCTCAGACAGGATGGAAGTGTGTCTCTCTTTGACACAACAGTTCAAAGGCAGGGGAAGTCCAGGGCAGGCTCTGCTCCGCAGGGTCATTCAAAGACTGGGGCTGGTGGGGTGGCTCTGTCTTCTCAACATATGGCATCCCTCTCTAGCGCCGAGGCTGCTGCTCCAGTTCTCCAGTTCTCAGGAAGTGGGGGAAAAGGAAGGGGAGAGCATGCTTTCTCCTTGTGAGGAAGTCATGTAGGATGTCCACATATCCCTCCATTTGCCTTCCGCTGGCAAGAACTCAGCCACACCTGGCTGCTCAGTGTTGGGCATGGAGATGGTTAGAGAAGATTCCGGCCAGCTGCACTGCACTTAGCTGAGGTTCTCCGTAATTAGTGGGTCCTTTCCCCCTCTTCAACCCGGCAGGTGTGGCTACAGAGGAGGCTACATGGAGGTGATCAATCTGCACCCTGAGATCAAGGGCCAGCTAGTGAAGCTACTCTCGGTACGTCTCTGCCCACCAGTGTCGGGGCAGGCCGCCATGGACATCGTCGTGAACCCCCCGGTGCCAGGAGAGGAGTCCTTCGAGCAGTTCAGGAGGGTGAGTCTGCTGTTTCCTGCGGCCTGTCTGCATTACTGCTCCAGCCAGGGTCACGAGTGTTCGTGATGTATTCAGGGTCGCCATGGCCAGTCTCTCTCCAGATGGCCTCCAGGAAGCGCTCATGGTTCCTCTTAGCGCCTGAGCCACCCCTCTGCGTTTCAGTCTGCAGAAGCTGCTGGGCTGTGTTTTGAAGTGGGAGGACTGTGCCTGTGTGTGATGGGGGCCCCTTCCTCTTCCTCACCTGTGAGCACCGTGGATGATCAGGCGCCCACGGGGTAGGGCCTTGTGTCCCCAGAACACCTCGGGGGGCTTCTGTTACTAAACTAAAGAGGGGAAATGCGTAGGCACCACACTGATTCTGGGCCGTGGGCCTGGCTCTGGCCTAACGGGACGTCCCCGCAGCACAGAGTGGTCCAGCCAGACCCCTTTCTGTTGCAAGTGACAAAAACTCGACTCTAACTAGTTTAAACAAAAAAGGAATTTATGGGTCATATAACCAAGAAGTCAGTTCCTACCTGTTCCAGGCTCATAGGTTCACATCTTTTCTTTTCATTGTGGTAAAATACATAGAACATAAAATTTACCATTTTAACCATTTTTAACTGTACAGTTTAGTGCATAAAGTACATTCATATCACTACCGCCCATCCCCAGGACTTTCTCATCATCCCAGACTGAAACTCTGTCCCCATTGAACACTAGCTCCCCCCCCCTTCCCCCCACCCCTGGTCACCTCTATTTTGCTTTCCGTCTCTATGAATTTGACTACTCCAGGTACCTCATGTAAGTGGAATCAGACAGTATTTGTCTTTTTGTGATTGGTTTATTTCACTTAGCATAATGTCTTCAAGTTTCATCTATGTTGTAGAGAGTGTCAGTACTCCATTCCTTTTTAAGGCTGAAGAATATTCCATTATATGCATATGGCACATTTTCTTTATCTATTCACCTGAAGGCCACACCTTTTTGCTCCCTTTTCCCAGCAGTACTTGCAAAAGTCCTGGACTGACTCTGTTCTAGCTTTGGACACATGGCCACCTCTGAGCCAGTCACTGATTTGCTTTGCCCAGGTCACGTGCCCCATGCACACCACATGGATTTTGGGAGGAGTAGCCCCCTAAAATGAAGTGGTGGGGCTGTCCACTAGAAGCATGTTCTGGGGTGTTCTGTCCAGGGCCGAGTCCATTCAGGTTGCTGGGAAGGGACTGACTTTTCTTGTGTTCAGGAATGACATCCTGGTACTAGAATAGAACCCATGACACAGGCTCCTCAGGACCTACCTGTGGCCTGGAACTCCCTGAGTGCTCGTGCGCCCCACGCCGCAGGGCACAATGTAGCCTCTCGCTCTGCCTGTCTGCAGGAAGCTCCTTGCAGGGGCGTGCGGTTCACCCACTGCCCTGGTTCGCTGTGCTCATGTGCACACAAACATGCCTTTCTCATCTGCCCTTTTACCCCAGCATGAAAGGGACAAGTTCTGGTGACTGAAGCCATTCTGTGATGTCCAGAGATGCTGACTCCTGTGTTCTCTCTGTCTCGTCAGGAGAAGGAGTCCGTGCTGGGTGATCTGGCCAAGAAAGCTAAGCTGACAGAAGACTTGTTCAACCAGGTCCCAGGGGTTCAATGCAACCCATTGCAGGGCGCCATGTACGCCTTTCCTCGCATCTTCCTCCCCGCCAGAGCCGTGGAGGCCGCTCAGGTCTGGGGCGTGGTGGGCCGGCTCTCTCACCAGGGTCACGTGGGACTGTGGGGTTGGGGGCTACTTCAGGCCTTGGGGAGCAAAAGTGCTGGTCCTAGAGGCCCCCTCAGCCAGTTGGTGCTTACTGTGTAAAGATGGCAGGCTCCCAGAGGCCCAGCCCACATGGTGTGCTGTGCTGAGGGGGCAGACGGGAGGCCAGCCCCAGGGGAGCTGGCTGCACCGAAGGCAGGTGCCCAGTGTAAGGTGATGCATTTAAAGCTGAACGGACTCTGGGGGAGCAGCCAGAGCTGCCTCTGGAGGAGCCAGCCACGTGCCTGAGAGCATCGCTTTGCAAACTTCAGTGGGGCCTCCTGGGGTCTTGTTAAATGGCAGTTATGGTTCAGGAAGCCTGCAGAGGGGCCCAAGATTCATATTTCCAGTAAGTTGTCAGACGGTGCCACAGACTCTACTTTGAGGATCAAGGGCCAGAGCAGTATTTCAGAAAGTGTCCTCACACCCCCAGACCTCCTCAATACCTTGTTAAACCTTCGAAATCTGGCCCTGCGCAGACCTACTGAATCAGAATCCCGGGTGCTGGGGACCGAGACTCTGCTTAACAGGCTCCCCGGGTTGTGCAAACCCAGGTGTGAGAAGCATTGTCCACAGTGCCCCTGAGAAGCTGGTGCCCTGACAGCCCCCGGCGGCTGCAGACCTCGGGGCCCCGTTGTTAGAGGGTGATGTGTCTTGGCCTGTAGGAGGCCACTGTCAGTGCTGCTTGAACCACTGCTGAGGTTGGGGTACAGAGGAAATAGGCTGATACTTCCAGACAAGAATCAGAAGCCTCCCACCCGAGGCCACCCTGCAGCAGCCTTTGGGTCCTTGTTCCCTGTACCAGCTCGCAGCAGTGTCCAGCGTCCTGCCTTGGTCCTTGCGGGAAGGGGAGGGCCTGCCGTGGGAAAGAAGCCACTGTTTCAGTTGTATTTGGCTTTGAGGTTTTAATGGTGTGTTTGTGCAGTGCAAAGCCAGGACTGAGTCCTAAGTTCTGCCCTGCTCCCACAGGCCCACACAATGGCCCCTGACATGTTCTACTGCATGAAGCTCCTAGAGGAGACGGGCATCTGCGTCGTGCCTGGCAGCGGCTTCGGGCAGAGAGAAGGCACCTACCACTTCAGGTACCACTTCCTCTCTGCACAGAGGGCTGGTCCCAGATGTGTTTTGGGAAACTTGGCTTCTTGACATAGAGCGCAGGCTGCTTCAGAGACTGAGGTGTGTGCAGCCCCAGTCCTCCCCTGAGAGACACCCCCACCCATCCCATCCCCCACCCCCATTGTGTCCTGCTGCAGAGCAAAGCTGAGACCCCGTGCCCAGGGGTTCAGGTAAACTGTGTGTGGACTCCAAGCCCATCTCCTTGACCACTCTGTCTCCCCCCGAACTGCCTCTGTCTATCACATACCATCTGAAATGTTCCCAGTGGTGTGTTTTCTTCTTTTTCCCTGTCCTTTTTCAACTCCATAATGGCAGCATACAGCATCCAGGAGCTCAGTAGCGGCACCAAAAGCCTGCCGAGATACTGCATCCAAAACCCAGTGGAATTAGCTCCACTCACTGTGACACATTTCCCTGGGCATGCCGACTCGGTGCCTTCACACATGGGGACTCTCGGGTTGAGTGAGCTGGGCCAGCTCAGCCAACTTTCCCCACGGAGGCCAGCTCTGTGGAGTACAGCACCTTCTCCGCGCACAGTGCTCTCAGATGTCTCCTGAAGCAGATGCTAAAAAAAGAAATGTCATGAGCTTAGTTAACACCTGGAGCCAAGTTTTGACTCAGTCAAGGTCATGAGCAGTGTGCCCTGGATGGACAAACGTGGGTGGCCTTTCCATTCTAGCTAGGTTCACCTCGGTGACTCCTGGCTCATTCAGAAAACAGTTAAACCTCAAGGGCAGCCCTTAGGGTTGCGAAGCATGTTGACAGTATTGGAGGGAGGGGTTAGTTACCATGGCAACTTGGGAATTCCTTTGGAGGGAGAGTTGTGACTGGAGGCTCTCAACTGCAAGAGACCGACTAGTGGAGATAAAAAAGGCCCGTCTAGTAGGAGTGAAGTCTCGCTGTGTGTCTGCAGGCAATACCGACAGTCATGAACTAGAGAAAGTTCTCTTTATTTATTTATTTATTTTTGAGGAAGATGAGCCGTGAACTAACTGCTGCCAATCCTCCTCTTTTCACTGAGGGAGACTGGCCCTGAGCTAACATCCATGCCCATCTTCCTCTACTTTATATGTGGGATGCCTACCACAGCATGGCTTGCCAAGCAGTGTCGTATCCACACCCGGGATCCGAACCGGTGAACCCCGGGCTGCCGAAATGGAACGTGTGAACTTAACTGCTGCGCCACCGGGCCAGCCCTGAAAGTTCTCTTTTTTAAAAAATTTTTTCTTCTCCCCAAATTCCCCGAGTACATAGTTGTGTATTTTTGGTTGTGGGTCCCTCTAGTTGTGGCATGTGGGACACCACCTCAGTATGGCTTGATGAGCGGTGTCATGTCCCTGGGCTGCAGAAGCGAAGTGTGCGAACTTAACCACTCGGCCACGGGGCAGCCCCTAAAGAAAGTTCTCTTCACTGGTCAGAATGTTGTGCAGGCCTGCTGCGATAATGGGTGGTGTGTCTTAGCCTAAAGGCTGCCGCCAGCTTATTGCTTTTGTTCGCATGAATTACTAGGGTAAAAAAGAAATGTATGAATGGGGGGAAAAGTGGTTCAACAAGTGCCAGATGCCGCCCAGGGGCTGGAGCTATCCTAGCGGCCAACACAGGCCCGCCCTCCCCACGCAAGTTGCCCACACCTTCTTGTCTCTGCAACTACAGGTGAAGGAATGAGCTGCTGGGTTCATTCCTCTCCCCTCTTGCAGAGCAACTTGTGCCCAGGCTGACGCTGTTGTCTTTCCTGACAGAATGACCATTCTCCCTCCAGTGGAGAAGCTGAGGACAGTTCTACAGAAGGTGAAAGAGTTTCACATAAAGTTCCTGGAGAAGTATGCGTGAGGACTCCTCAGGCCTCAGAGGGAGACTGGTCCTCGGGCCTTCCTCCTGACGCCCACCCAGACCGGACTGAACTCGCCTTCCCCAGCGACTCCGCCTCAGGCCTCACACAGGTCACTGGTCGCTTTCATGGTCATTTTGCCCCAGGAGACTTCTTTCTTTTGTGCCTTGATGTGGGACCACTTCTCTTCTGAGCAAATGTGAATTGGGGATGTCTCAGAAGCCTTGTTTTTTTGATGCAACCAAAGTAGAGGGGACTTGCTCAGCATATGTGGCTGGCGTTCTCTGAGTCTCTTATCGTTGCTTTTGGAAAGTTCATTTGGGGTTTAAAATAACCAGGGTGTATTGGGTGAGATGTTTCAGATCTGGAGAAACACGAGAGTATCGGGAAATGTATGATTTAACCGTGGTGAGGACTGGAAATCTCAAACTCACCATGTGATCTGTAAAATAAAACCCTTAGTGTTGTAAAAATCTATTCCTTCCACCAGGAGAGCCTGGAAGTCCACTGGAGGCTCAGAGGGGGCCCACCCTCTGGCTTGGAGGCAGACAGCCTGTCCCTTAAAGACTGGTGAGGGCAGCAGCACGCGAGTTAGACTGGATGCCAGGCTGGGTTGTGGCAGGCACTAGGGGCTGCAGCAAGGTCAGAGGGTCCCACAGGGGAGACTGGTGTCAGCCAGGCTCCAGGTGAGGCAGGTCTGCTCCTGGGAGCAGGCGGCAGGGAGTGAGGGCTCTAGGGGGAGGGCTCTCCCAAGCATGCGTAGGTTGCGACCCCCATCTGAGACGCCTCCCTGGAGTCCAGGGACTCAGGGTACAGCCCAAGAATATCCCAGTCATGTGGAGGGATCCTGCCTGGTGACATGTGGCTCCATCCCACTGTTACCCAGCTACTGGTCTCTCCCAAGAGCTTGATTGAACACACAACGCCCCCAGATGGCGACAGCAGGGACAAGGAAACACTGAAAACGTCCTAGTGAAGGAGGGGCATCCTCAAGGACTTGACGGTGAAAATGCCCCCCACCGTCCTCCTGTAGTGTCTGTGGAGTTTTTCAACCTGCATTTGGTCCGTTTTCCAGCTCTTAATTGGTCACAGTACTTGGTGGCTCGGCTGCTGTGGAAGAGTACATGTGATCTGAGTCAACGTTTATAGAAGTGTTTTCACTTAATGCCAAGTGTTTTGCTTCCACATTTGCTGCTAGTCGCCCTCCTGGAGTCTGCAGGCTCTCCTGTGGCATCAGTCGCCTCTCCAGACCAGAGGGGCATGGTCCTCCAAGCCTGCGGCTGCCCTGGCATTAGCAAACCTGGGTGGGGCCTTGCCCACAGTCCCAGAAAGTGGGTGCTACAGGCAGCAGCAGGCTGAGTGCCCTCTTATCCTCCACCAAGAGCCCCCTCCTGCCATTGGCCTTCCCCAGGGGCAGTTAGGGAAGCCAAGGCCAGGTCAGGAGTCTAGGGTCCCAGCGAGTCCCAAGGAATACTGAAGGAGCTGAAGCGAGAAAGCTGAAGAAGCTGCAGGTGTGAGCTCTGACAGCGGCCTCCCGTGCTGTAGTATCCACACTGGGCTCGTGCAGGGGACGCAAGAGGAAGCTTCACACTGTCCCCACTCGCTAGCATTGCCGTCTCTGTGAAGTAAGCAGCCTCAAATAACAAAGGGAATGTTCTGGAACTTTTCCTTCCTTAAAAAGTGGAGAGAATTGCACGTGTGCTTGGTGACGGTGGATGAACCAGGATGTGTCCCAGAGTCGTGAGATTTCTGGTGGGAAGGTTAAGTCGTAGAAGCTAGTTTATTTTTTATATTTTTATAACAACTGCTTTTTTCATGGGGGGAGACAGGGTTAGTATTTGTAGTCTTAACAAGTCCAGTAGTTTTTCTATAAATCTCTTAGATTATAAATAACCCCTAAAACCTTTGCAAACGTTTACATGAGTTTTTAAAAGACGCCATATACAATTGGTTTGCTTTTAGAATAAATGACTAAAAACATGATAAGGTCAGCTGGTTTGGGGGCTGGGTTCCTTCAGGCAGGAATGCTCATCACGACCGCTGTGCTGTTCTTCAGATTCTATTCTGATAGCTCATTTGGGCCGCCAGAGAAAGCCGTTTGTCGTTTGGGTCGCACTTTAAATCTACAGTTATGGGGTTTTCTGTCGTTCATCTGATCCACGCCTGAGGGCTGGTGGCCCATCACCTCGCACCTCCAGGCCAGGCTGGTTGTTGTCCAATGGTGTGTGGATTTGCGGGAAGAGCTGCCAGGCCCACCTGTGGCTGTTTTCCAATCTAGGTTCTCATAGGCATCTCTTGACAGAGGTACTTAATGATGGCTCTGCTGGAAATTTCTAAACAATAAAGTACATGTCCAAAATGGTAACTGTGTTTAACTTTTGTACTTTAGATCTAAACATCACGCGGACTTCACTGATTGTACATCTTCACTCTTTGTAACTTGTATTCCTAACACAATAGTGAACCTTTCCCCCCAAATACTGTAAACTTCAGTCACAGCTTTTCAGTTTCTGTTTCTTTTTAGGTGCCAACTCCAATGACCCTGAGCTGCTTTTTGTCGCTGAGGTGGGAAGACTTTGTGGATTCATTGAAATGGAATGTTGTTAAAATGAACACAGACCTTGGCTTTCTCATGGAGGTGAAATCAGAACTAACAGCTGCTTCATGGGGGAGGGGAGTGGAGAAGCAGCCCTGGGGCCAGTGGGGAGGGGGACGTCACCTATGCAGGGATTGTGTTCATTTTCCCCAGGCTTTCCCAGACGCACATCAGTTTTCGCGTAGGGTTTTGGAATTCAAAACTGTACTTTTCACCTAAAACTAAAATTTTTGAGAAAGTTTTTAAAGAAATTTGGAAAATATAAAAAGAAGAAAGGACTGTTTCAGTTGGAAGAAATGGAAACCTACTCAAAGTAGCTTAAGTAGAAACGAAGAATTTATTGCCTTGTGTAAGAGGAATTTATTGAAGTCCTGGGGGGAAACTGGCTTCAAGCTGGCTTTAGCTCTCCTGTTCCCCCTGTTAAATGCAAAGCCACATTGTTCAGCTCCACATCGAAGATCCCAAAGAACGACCTTGATTGGCTGCCTTGGTCCATGTGCCCTTCCCTCACCCGGTCTCTGTGGCCCGTGAGAATAGAGTCCTTTGGTTGGCTCTGTGTGCAGAGTGGGAGGGAGAAAGGGGGCTTAGAATCACCAGCCACATCAGCGCTATTGGAGGAAAAGCTGTTCCCTGTAGGAAAGGGGGGTGGAGGTGGGGCTGCACCAGCAAACCTCCTTTACCACAGGTGGCTCTTTAGAGAGGGATGAGGGGGGAATGCGGTGTTCAAGGTGGGTTGAGTCGTTACTGTTGATAATCCGAGGGGACTGGAGTTGCTCTCTGCATCCTCCCTGACAGTGCACGCACACATGGGAACATACACATCTTGTCTGGGAGCTAAACTTGGTGTGGTTTATTATATATGGAGTTAATTAAGTAGGTGGGGTTTGAGAAAGAGTTGTTATTCTAGATTATTTTTGGTATAGGCTTTTCTGTAACACATCTAGAAAGACTTCAGCAAATATTAATAAGGACCCAATATGAGCCATGAACTTTTGGGGGATGGGGAGTCGAGATGTGATCACTGTCCTCAAAAAACTTAGATGGAGGGGCTGGCCCCGTGGCTGAGTGGTTACGTTTGCGTGCTCCACTGCAGGCGGCCCAGTGTTTTGTCAGCTCGAATCCTGGGCATGGACATGGTACCACTCATCAAACCACGCTGAGGTGGTGTCCCACATGCCACAACTAGAAGGACCCACAACGAAGAATATACAACTATGTACCGGGGGGCTTTGGGGAGAAAAAGGAAAAAAAATCTTTAAAAAACAAAAAACTTAGATGGAATGGCCACGAGACAGTTCAGTGCTCAAATCCTATGCGCGCAGTGGTGCTGGGCTTCAGAGAAGTCTGGGTGAGACACCAGAGGAAGGCAGTGATGCTCTTCTCTACCAAGTTGTGGGGAGCACACCCACCCACCTCTTCTCACTGCCCTCTGAGGGCTGCCAGATGTCTTGCCTTTGGCCTTTATCCTGCCCCTGAGCCAGGGGATCCCCCTCCCCAGGAAAAAGGAAGATGAAACTTACTACCAGACACCCACCCAGCTCTCTTCCTTGAGAGTCCTGGGTCAGCTAGAGTTTCACACTGAGATTTCATTGTCCTACTTAAAAAAAAACCGACATATTTTTTGTCTCCTCCTCAGTTTCGTCTGCCTTTCCTCTGAATGCAAATATTGGGGCATCCCCTTGAAGTCCTTTTGAAGATATTAAATTTCAAAACTTTAAAGACATCCAGAATCCTAGAGATACTTAGAACAAGGTCAGAGCACAAGTGCACATTACACAAAAGTGTAAAATACAAACAATATTATCAAAGTAAGCATGTTCATGTGGAAAAGCTAGAAAATAAAAGTCTAGAGAATTTGAAATCCCCTGTAGTCCTCCAACCAGAGTAAATCAGGCCTAACATTCTGGGAGATCGTCTCCTTTTCCTGAGAATACTTTTACATGGTGGAGATGTGTATGTGTGTGTGGTTTGGATCCTAACTTACTCCCCTTCTACATTCGAACATGGTGGTAAAGGTGCCTGGTGAGCAGTGTGGACGGCTACTCCATGAGTTCTCCGGGTGAACAGTTGTGTAGTTAACTGCACTCAAGCTTTTGGATTGTAAACGGTTCTTGGTTTTTAAGGATAATGCCACATAAGAAACATCCTTACATAAGGAGAGTGTTCCCCTCCCTCCCCCTTGAGTGCAGGCTCGTGTGGAACATTCTTAGGAGTATTTTCTGTAACCTTCAAGGGACTCATCCTCAGGTCAGAGTCCAAAGTTGGGCAGACCATGGTGCCAGCTGTAGGATCACTGAGCCTCAGGGCTTATCATCTGTAAAATGGAGCTAATAATACCCACTCGTGGAATAATAGGATCATTGTAGGCATTAAATGGGGGGGAAATGTGCATATGTGTAACTTAGCATAGCTCCTGGCAAGGATCCTCATTTGCTGAGCACTTTCTGTGATTCTCTCTGATTTAGAGCAGTGTGGATATGCGATGCAGGTTCAATAAACATTGAAACTGAAGGGAAGACTGCCTTCAATATGCTGGATATAATATGAGTGACATTTTCAGGTAGTGAGAACCATTTCCCAACACTTCTGAACATACTCTGCTCTGCAAAGCACACTGGTTATTTTTTTTGTCAGTGGTAACTTTTTTGTCACAGTTTCTAAAAAATGCATGGGTCCAGTTACGCTACAGTCTTTATGAGGTAGGTCCAACTTAAAAATCACTTTTCACAACTTTGGTGTAAATGGATGTTTGGTTTTGGAGCAGGTCCATCTTGACCCACTGGTGCTGGTTAGGAACTGGGATCATTTGGACTCACTGGTATTTACATGGGATCATGTCCTTCCCCATATAGGACCTTTGTGGGCCTTTGTCCCTTTGTGGTTAAGATGAGCTGTTGTTTGCCATTTCTGACTTAAAACTTTAAAAACAAGATGCCCCCAATGATATACCTTGGGTGCCAAAACTCCACTCAAGGAAGTAGAGTGTAAAGTTAGGATTCCTTTGATTGTACGTGATAGAAAACCAAACCTGAGAAGTCAAGAAGAATTAGCTAAATCAGACCTACACTTCCCAGCCTCCCTTGCAGCTATGTGTGGCCATAAATTTAATGGGACATAAATAGTGTCATGTGGCAGTTGCTGGGAACTTCCCTTAGAAGAAACCTACCCTGTCTCCTTTTTCTTCCTTGTCCTCTCCTCTAGCTGTTTGGAACACAGCTGCCATGGGAGGCATCTAAACCATGACAACAAAGATCACATGCTTGCGCACAGTAAACACTGTAAGATTTAGCTGTTATTTTTGTTGTTGTTAGCACTCCAACATAATCCCAAGGACGCAGTCTTTTGGGCTTGCAGGAACATTTGCCTCGAGTTTAGATTGATCATCTCAAACTCGTTACCTACAAGGGCGGCTTAATAAGTGTTGGCAACATTCGTGGATGTGTGAAAGCCTCTTGTCATTTGTTCAGCCCTGGCAGAGCAGCTGCGTGCCAGGCACAGTGCCCAGTGATGGGGAAACAGCAGTGAATCAGACATGGTCCCACAAGTTATAAGGCTGATAATGCCCCATGCTAGTAAGAGTGGGGAAACCAACACTGACACACTGTTGGTAGGGGTGTGAATTTGTACAATCTTTTGGGAGGGCATTTTGGCACTGCCAACATTAAATATACACACGCCTACTTTAAGACTACAGTAATCGAGACAGTATGGTATTGCTGAAAGGACAGACAGCAGAACAGAGCTCAGAAACAGACTCATATCCATTTAGCATTTTGGCATAAAATAGACTATACACACATACACACACACACACATATATACATATACATCTTCAACACACCTGTATTGACCAAATAATTTTTGACAAGCATGCCAATACAATACAATGGGAAAGGAAAGTCTTTAACAAATGATGCTGCAACACCTGGACATCCACATGGGGAAAAAGATGAACTTCAACTACTCCTTCCTCGCACATATGCAAAATCTGAGATGGATGACAGACCTGAAGCGTGAGAGCTAAAACTGTAAATCTTCTAGAAGAAAACATCTTTGTGACTTTGAGGTAGGAAAATATTTCTCAGGACAAAATGGCACTAATTATAAAAGAAAAAAGTGATAAATTGAACTACATCAAAATTAAGAACTTCTCCTTTTTAAAGGATACCATTAAGAAATGAAAGGACTGGAGCTGGCCCGGTGGTACAGCGGTTAAGCCTGCACATTCCGCTTCAGTGGCCCGGGGTTCGGCGGTTCGGATCCCAGGTGCGGACATGGCACAGCTTGGCAAGTCATGCTGTGGCAGGCGTGCCACATATAAAGTAGAGGAAGATGGGCATGGATGTTAGCTCAGGGCCAGTCTTCCTCAGCAAAAAGAGGAGGATTGGTGGCAGATGTTAGCTCAGAGCTAATCTTCCTCAAAAAAAAAAGAAATGAAAGGACAAGCCAGAGACGGGGAGAAAACATTTTCAGGACACAAATCTCATAAAGGACCTGTATCAAAAATATATAAAGAACCTAAAAAAATCAGTAACAATAAGACAAACAACCCAATTAAAAAACAAGGGAGGGGCAGGCCCGGTGGTGCCCCGGTTAAGTTCGTGCTCTCTGCTTCAGAGGCCCAGGGTTCGCCAGTTTGGATCCAGGCCCTGATGTATGCACCACCTGTCAGATCATGCTGTGGTAGGCATCCCACATATAAAGTAGAGGAAGATGGGCACGGATGTTAGCTCAGGGCCAGTCTTCCTCAGCAAAAAGAGGAGGATTGG